TGTCATACAGCTCTTTGTGATCTGCAGAAAATCTACCTTATCCTTGACACTATTGCAGCATAACCACTGGTAAACATCCAGGACCACCCTTGCCTCTGCAAGAAAAATACTAACAGTAGAGTTATCTGGTAAGAAACTTGAAGACTGCTCCTGCAAATCTTTTAAGTATTAGTTCAGATAGAGATCCACTGGGGAGGAAAGAACAACTCCCCAGAACATTCTGTATTTTGCATTCAGTGTTCCTTTTTGTTGTATGTGTTTTGTATCTTTAGCCAATAAAAGATTCCTTTTAAAAAGGTGTTTTTGAGAAGGAGCATAAAACTTAACTGTTTGGGAGACACGAAATGATGAGTATCAGTATTGAAGTGGTTCCATTCAGTCTGTTGTAGCATATAAATCTAACACCACTACATGTTTAAAACACCTATTTTGGTAAACTCCTCCCTCATTGCAACACAAGTGTGTTGCAATCAGTCAACCTAACCAGAAAGGTCTGAAGGTTTATTTATTTTTTTATCCCATCCATTTCAGTAAGTTAAATGCAGAAAATATTACATAGAAAGTGTCCTCAAATCTCATCAGAGTTCACAATCTGAGGCAGACCCTAAGCGGCAATCTAGTTAAAGCAACCCAAAGAACGGACTTTGAGAGCCCTGGCTATGCCAAGAGAAGAGGTGAACGAGGGGAGAGGAGAACTCTTCTCCTTGTATCTGCATGGGGTTTCCCCAAGAACTTGTTCATCTCTGCTAAGGAATCGCTCATTCCTGGTTAATGACAAAGCTGCAGCCAAGATTTACTGTCCAGCCGTACAACTCTGCAACTTCTTGCTGGGATCATGTGCCTGACTATTGAGCCATATATATCTCTGTAAGAAAAATGAAAGTGGGCTTGGACCACAGCTCATCTGGCTAGAACACAGCTTGTCTGTTTGGCCACACATTTTTAATCTTGACTCTTGCATGCAGTTTATAGCACCTTGTTCATAAGAAATTGCAGTTTATTCTTAGAAATATATATTTTAGGTTTTTTAATCTTTATACCCATAAATGGACTATTTTTTTGTCTTGGCTGGTTTAAAAAGTGACCATTTTGTTTAAATGCTGTAATTGCAAATGTGTTGTAAGTGTTGTTTTGTTCTATAGTTTACACAAAGGTGCCAAAGTAAATAGTTAATAAAAATCCCCCAAACCCAAGCAAACTGTTGCATTGCTTTAGCTGTTCTTCAAATTTTGGTCTCTGCTCTTTTTTGGGGTTGGTTTTGTTTTTTGGTTTTTTTTTTCAGCCTTTCAGTTTTTCCCAGACATATCATTTGCCCAATGCTTTTAAAAAAAAAAATTAAAAAAAAATGCATCTAAAGAAATGTTCAGATACCACTTTTTTAGTGATTTCATATAGTAGGAAGAATATTTTCTTTGAAACGTTACACTAAAATTGTAAGAGTACAGCAGCATTCAAAAATGTAATATACTTTTTGTATAACAGTTCTTCAGAGTGTGTCTGGAGTGGGGGAGAAAACTAACCCTGTTACTTTTCAGAAGCCTCTTCCCTCGGCTACCAGGATATGAAATTGTGCTTTTTCACTGCATCAAAAAGTTATAGTTTATGCAGACTTGCAAATGGGGCATGTATCACCATTGCATCCTTCGATGCAAAGAGCAGCAAAACCTTTTTTATGTTTCATAAGTCTGATATGGGTACAGAGAGTCTTTCTTAAGTTGGTAAATAATGTAAATACATGTCCTTTCAGAGAGTGAGTCTGTTATCTAGGTATTTTGTGTCATTTAATAAATATTAAAACAGTTTTGTGTTGATAAACCCCTGTGTGTAAAATGCCTTCTTACTTAAAGTTCTGTATGTTGGGCTTATTAATGTTTGTGGCTTCTTTAAATTCTTTAGCTTGTGCTTTGATAGCAAAATACTTGTTTGCTACTTAAGTATAATAATCAGTAGTTCCTCCTTTATTCAGTCATTAAAATCCCTTGAGTTTTCTAAGTGGCTTCCATTCCTGAATTTTATTTTTTTTACGAAGTCTTCTACCAGGTTAATGGGGAGGAAGGAAGTAAACATCCTACAAACTGAATGTGTAAAGTGCCAGAAATGGTGCAACACTACCAAAGCTGCTGGCTCATTGCTAGTACAGGAGGATTCTCTCCTGCTGTATGATTTCCTTGTTTCCCAGTAAAGCTAGCAGGTTTTTTTAATGGCTGTGGCACGATTACTGAAGTACAGGACAGGGCTGGACAAGGAACTTGTTACTGGTGATGACCAACTGGGCCATTCTTAGTTTTTCTTCAGCCATTTGGAACCACTGGCCTAAATCTGACCAGAATTTGTCAGAGGTATTTTCAGACTGGTCCTTCCTGGTGCAGGTGCTCTGAGGACTTTGTGGAGAGGGGTGTCAGGGTGTTCTGATCTTGCTTTCCAAGCTCTGGAGGGGTAGTTTGAGAATGGGAGAGCTATGGCAAAGTAAGAGCTGTGCGTTCTGTTAAAGTGTGGAGGCATCTAAATGCATGGGATGATTTTTCCACTAACAATTTCTTCTTAAGAGTATTTCCTATGTTCTTCACAATCCTACAGAATTTTGTTGTTAGAAATTAATCCTACAGAAGCAGATTCCCAGAGAGCAGAAAATACTTTGTTACTGTATGAAGTGCAATATGCATTGCTGTTCTTTCTCCTGATTTTGAGAGAAACTGTTGCCAAATTAAAGGCAATAGCTTTGGATTTGCCTTGCTTAGGGGGTTGGTTTTTTTCCTTTTAAAAGGAAAGGGTTTGTAGGCATATTGTGCTATTTAGAAAACAAGCACCTGAAAACTTACTTGAGGGGTTGAGACACTGGACTTTATGCAGAGTTTCTTGTAAAATACAGAGTTAATTGGGAAGAGGAGCAGTGGATGCTGATCAGCCTACAATGGAGCAAGTTTTTCTTCTGGTTAACTGCTTCCTGATACATGCTCATCTCCTGTAAGAGTCATCCTTAAAATGACTTACAATTTGTCTTGCTGCTGCTTATGGGAAATAAGCATTAAGATAAGAATTCAAGAAGAAAAGTAACTTTGAAAGTTAATGTTCTAACATCAGTAAGACACTGCAGCTCCATAGAGAAAACCTTTTCCTTAAACTTCGGAAAAGGAGTTCACATCCAGTAAATACTAAATTTTTATTGTTATGCCTTTACACACAGCTGGCACCATAACAAGGTCTGACTGCAGGATCCTGCTGAGAATGCCAAGTCTGAGTGAAGGTTTCCAGTTAGTCTTTTAATAGTTCTTCAGTCACAGCTGGAGCTGCGTGCCTCCAGAGAGGGGTCCCTACCCCAGCTCATGCTTCCCAATTATACCCGTTCCACAAATCACCCCATCCCCAAGTCCAGGCACCTAATTCTTGTCAGTGATTTCTCTTGATTTCTCAGTGGGTTTCACTAGTGCTGGGCTGGCCGCCTCCTGAAGTTACTTCACTCTTTCAGAATTGTCCTTATCTTTTTCATTCCACTTATATCTGCAGCACACAGGGAGTTCTTTGTTAGCAGCATTAGTTTTACCAAAAGTTTACACTTGGTGAGCTCTTGTAGCCAAACGCTTCAGCTGCTTTAGTGGCTGATGCCAAGCTACTAATGCCAAACTATTCAGAGAGAATACAGTATGCAACATCAATGATAGTTCTTTAACTTACTCCTTAAAACAATCACTATCACATTGCAAACTGAGAGGGATGAGTATGCAAAGCAAATTGCATCCAAGATTACATGAAATAGATTTCTTTGTACCACGTGGAGTGGGAAGTAGTTATAATACAGCATGAAATATCAGTGCTGGATTATTAGTACAATGTTCACTTAATATGTAGCTCTTTTCCCCTCCCAGACCAAACTCATATGGAATTATCACAATGCATGTTCTGTTTTACCACTGTGTCGTCTGCAAAACTTGAAGTGTATCTGAGAACAATTTGTTACTATGGTCAAAAGCAGATACCTTTCTCAAAAGCAGTCCCTTAACGGTATCAAGAAAATCCTTCAGCTGGTGCTAGGTTAAGGCTCAAAGCAAGGCTGCTCTACTAATTACAATTAAAACCTGGACAAGACACAGTGCAGACCGAGTTCTGCCACGTGTGTGCTGGGGAGGAGGTACAGCTTTCAGGCATGAGATGGGAACAGATTACAAAATAAAGCCTCTGCAGAGGTGAGCTGAAACCTTGTCACCGTGCAGGTAAAGCTTGTAGGCTGCGACCAGGGGGTAGGTCAGGCTCCATCCTCTGGAGAACTGGTTCTGCAACCAAAGGGCTGCAATCCTGCGTATCTGTCCTAGTTTCAGCTGCGATAGAGTTAATTTTCTTCCCAGTAACTAGTACAGAGCTGTATTTTGGCTTCAGTCTGAGAACACTAGCAGGCTGGGGTTAATCTACAACAGTATCCCTTCAGTTTCTTTCTTGTTATTCCTACAGCACCACTGCTGCTTCATAATCCGAGCTCCAGAAGCAGACAGGCAGCCTCAAACTGGAGTGAGATCATTCCCTGGAAGAGTTTTGTTGCTCAGGACAATGAAATGAACGGGTTTGCCAGACCTGGTTTTCTATCTCTGTCAGAGCTGGAAACTGTAGACCAATTACATATATGGTTAATTACATATATGGTTATTTTATATATCATCTGCCCTGATGTGCTCTCTGTAAAAGGGAGGTAATGTTATTCTAGGTTACAGCACTGCAGTCCTGCAGTTAAAATATCCAGATATTAAAATGACTATATAAGACAGCCTCCCTTCCAGCCCTGTATTTTAGATAGAACTTCTGCTGCTGCTGAGATTTCTCAAAAACAATTACAGCCAACACATCCTTGGTAAGAGTTGAAGTGGGAGGTGGCTCATGAGCAGAGCCATTCTCACATGACTTCTGCTCTGAAGCTGACAGATGTATCTCCAGCAAGTTAGCAATGTATGTTGATAGACACAAAACTGACATTTTTGTACTTTGCTGTTACAAGCCCAAAGAACGTGTTGAGCTGTCAGTGAAACGATTTTTTTTTTCCCACGTTAAACAGATCTACATCTAGAAGTAGTTTGGCATGACTCACGAAACCCATAAATCTCATCAGCTGCCACATGGTAACCCACCTGCTGAGTGCCGTGATACACGTCGCACGCAGCAGCAGCTGGAAACGCTGCTGAGCGCAGCAACCTACCCCAACCCTGCACCTTGCAGCACGGGCTGCTGTCCCCGTGTGGGTCAGCGAAGGAGCACCGGCTGTACCAGCTCCTGCCCCGCTGCCACCTCGCCAGGCACCCAGCGTGCGATCAAACCAAACAGCACGTACGCGAGCGGTGTTTGTGCAACAGGCTTGTGACGAACTACCGCCGCCTGTGCCTGGGCTTCTTCCTGCTCGGCTGGGACTGAGTTGCTCCTGCTGTGTCGCAACACCAGGCTCCAGCGCGCTCCTGCAGGAAGCCCGCTGTGGCTGCAGCAACCCGCCCTGCGCGGCCCCACCACCGCTGCTGGTTTTGGCATTTCACGTGATTGCCCCAGCCTTGACTCAGCAGTTTGCTGCGGCTGCGTTTAATGGTTTGGTTTCCTACCACCACCGCCTCCAGAAACAGGCCAGCTCAGAAACACTGCCATCTGCTCGAGCACAGCGAGCCGCAGCTTTCACACCCTTCAGAGAAGTCGTTCTGCAGAGCCAGCGGAGCAGAGCTGTCGGGAGCCATCCCTCCGCAGCACACGCAGGTCCAAGTGCTGCAGGTGTCACACTGTGCTGGGCAAAGCAGGGGCTTCGTTACGGTGTGCAAATCCCCAGGTTACAAACGGTCTGCATGAGAAGGTGCATAGCTGTAACTCTCACAGCTGCTGGCACGATCCCAAGAAGGTCCCTGTGGTTCATCCTTCCCTGCCAAGTGAATCTGTGACCTAACAGACGTTAATCTCTTCCTTTTTCCGGCTTTCCCATGTGAAATGGTACCAAACCCGTCCTCTGCCACCGGGAAAGGAGTAATTTGTTCTGCCATAATCTTGTCCCTGAAAAAATACAGAAAATTCCGTGTTGTTTAAAGAGACATCTAAAAGAATGAATAAAAATAATTAGACTAAAATAGTGATTACTGCATGTCCTAGCTATTTCCTCTTCCTTCTTTTTAATCACAAGCTGTACTCTTCTGCACCAGCGATCAGAAATACGAAGTTACTCAGTGCTTCATTAAACAGTGGACACTTTGCTTCTGACCCCACACATCCATCAATTTTTGCAAGTCCCTGGGTTAAGGAAAAATTGATTACAGATACAGTACCTAACCAGCTGAAACTGCTGAAGGGCTCACAAAGGACTAAGTATATGCTGGACATCAAAAATATGATGTGAATGACAGTCACAGAACAGCTGATACATTTGAAATCAGGCACGAATTTATGTTCCTTGATGAACCAAAGCTTTAAAAAGAAATCACAAGGTTTTGCATATTTGTTCTCAGTACATGAGAACAAATCACCTTCTTAAAATTACTGACACCAGACTAAGTATAACATGCAGAAAAAATGTAATGCCATACAGAAACATTCAGTCCTCGTTTTCACAGCCAGCAATAAACATAAGGAACATCCTAGAAAAGCACGATCAGCTTGCCATCCATCAGTGGCTCCCAAAATCACACCAGAATCATTTCTCTCCAGTAAGGAAAAGGCTGAAGCATCTTCTCTGCATCATGGTAACAACCATTCACACTTTTCTATGTCACTAAAGTCCGACTGTCACATAAATTTTACCATTAAGACTGCCACTGTCCACAAAGAAATTACTTGCGATAAATAAGACGCAGTGTTAACACTGTTTGAGGTTGAATCCTACGAGTACTGAATATCATAGCTTTCCATGGAATTCCAGAGGAATCAGACATCTGAACCCAACCACTAGGTGGTTTTTTTTTTCTGGAGGATTTGTTAATCACAAGAGGAACAGCATTCCATTTTGCTCCCTGCAGAGCTACAAACAGGAGAGAGTCTTTGGGACCTCCCCCCCAAAAAAGTTCTATCTAGAAAGAACAGTGCCAAAACTGAGCTTCTGACAGTTGGCTGTGCAAGAGGAGACTATCACTGTGCTAATAATGCAAAAATACATTGTTTTTAACAGCCTTTTAACACATTCAGACCACTGCAGCATGTAGGCTTTGCAGGGCAAACTTTATCCTGCTATGTGATTGCGAGGTGCCTGTACCAGCTCCCTGCGGTGGAATTTGATCCCCTGGTCTCCCCAGGGACCCCACACAAGGGCAGAAACCCCTTGGGCAGCCTTTGTGGCCATCTCATCACTTCCTCTGCTGTCGCTAGGGGCAGCCTTGACATACCTATACCACAGGCACATCACTGTCCCCTGCCATACCGTGTGATAATGAAAATAAACCACCAGTTCAGTGTCTCTGAATTCACACAACTTCACCTTTTCATTAAGCTACTCCTGTAGCCAGTCTGACACTGTCTTAAAGCAGGATTAGTGTGTACGCTGTTTTTACACAGCTCCAAGGGAGAAACTGCGCTTTTATCTTTACTGATACAGCAAAAAAGAAGTGAGCCATACACCTGCTAAGATCACAGTAAGATGCTGTAACACCACAAAGTGCCCATGGAAGGCAGGGATGGAGATACCTGGAAGGCAAAGCAGTCAGATGCAAACAAAGAATTCTGTGTTCTGATGTTAATGATGACCTTTCTGGTGCAAAACAATGTATTTTTCGTTATGCTAAATTACATAAACTATACTGCTCTTTTAATACCACATCAGTTGCTACTTTTATTCTGTGCTCTTTCTCCTAATGTCTTTCTCTTAATAGTGAAATCCTCTTAATGCAATTGCTTCTAAGTCCCCGAGAGATGACTTTTTAAAGACAGGACTTGGTACGAAAACAGTGAAGCCTGAGGAGATGTAAAAGCCCCAGCAGCAGGACTCTCCCTGGCCTCTGAAATGCCCCATTCTTCACGGTGAAGACAGACAACTTGCTGCCTTCAGAATCTGCGGTTTCATCTGTGCTGCTGTTACTGGATGCTCCCCCACAGCCTACAGCAAGTGCTGGCTCAGTTATTAAACATAAAGTTTATTTCTCCACATGCAACAGTGCTCAAACAGATGCATGTATGGGTATATAATACACAAGGTAAGTTGGTTCTAGTGCAGTTATTAAGCACAAAAACAAAAGCAAAGAAGCAGTGAACGCATCTGACCACACAAGCATTTGTGTGTGGAAGCCCCATTAGTACCATGCACTGGTTCCAGTGGTGGTCCTGACCTGCCAGGTTTGGTTTTGTGACACTCTTTGGGAAAGTACACTATTGCAAGTATACAGCTGAGAGGATTTAACTGACATTTAATCACAAATTGCATTATTTCCATTTCCTCAACACTTCACAACCGCTTTCCTCTCAACACCACCTGCACTCCAACTGCCCCACTCAATCAGGTCAATGTGTTTGACGGTCTTTTTCAAGAGCTTAGATTTCCTTCCCCCATGACTGGGGATATCTCTAAATGCCTGATTATTCAAAGTACTATTTGCAGATATCCCCCAGCATTAGAACCAGGAATATGCTATTCAATGAGGGCCCTTCCTCGCTGAGTCTAGAGCTCCAGTCTCCTCAGGCAGCTGAGCACCTGCCCGCCATTTTCCCTCCTTCCGCTTGGCCTCAATCTCTTCTTCCCATCTCCCTTTTCTCTACCAAGCCAGCTTCTTTTTCCCTCATCAATACCCTCCAGGCTGCAATCCAACATCCACCACACTTTACACCTCCGTTTAGTCTCAGATCCACCATGTTTCCTGTCCACTGCCATCTTCTCCCTCTCTCCTTCCCTCTTTCTCCCTCATTTGCACCAGGCAGCTGCTTTCTCCCATTTTCTGTCCCACGTTTTGCATTGCAGGCCTGGCTAAAACACAGCAAAGCGTCCCAGTCCCCTGTGCTATTGCCAGCTAGTGCCGGCCTCCGTAAGGCTTTACGGAGCCCATAGCTGGAAGGGTTTCTGCCCAGTCACGGTGGAGGCAAGAGCCTCCAGAGAACCCGAGTACGTCTCTGGCCGAGAGGATGGACACAGCCCTGACAGACCTAGAGACACCCGCAGCCACGGCAGGGCTGAGCAGAGCCATGTCCTAGCCCCCATGACCCTGCACGGCAGCCCGCTGCACCGCTCTGCCGCTCCTGCACCGCTGACTTGAACATTGAGTTCAATTTAGTCCGTTTCTCCCTCTTTTTATTGATTGTAAGCATGGAAAACAGCTTTACTTGGGCAGCGAAGGCCTCTATTAAACCTCTCTGGGTGCGCATCTTCTCTCAGCCTTCTCTTCTCAACCTACAGAAGCCCCGCTGGAGACAGCAACGGCTGCCGAGGGACGAACCAGACCGCCGTCAACGCGCTCCTACTGGGCCCACAACGGCCGCTCCCGGGCCCTGGCCGCTCCCTCACCGCCCGCCCGAGGCGGTACGCGACGCGCAACCCATCCGCGACCCATGGAATCGAGCCCCGGCGCGGCGATTGGCGGCGCCGCCCCGCCCCGCCCCTCCCCTCACATGACCGATGTCGAGGGCTCGGTCGCTCTCGCTGTTTCTCGGCGCGCCCACAGTCAGCATGGGGCGGCGGCGCGCCTTCGTCCCGCTCCTCTTGCTGCTGCTCGGCACCTCCGGTGAGCGCGGCCGTGCCCGGTCCTGCGGGAGCCGGTGGCGGCGGGGACGGGCGGGACGGACGGGCGGGAGGGGGGGGGGGGCAGGTGTCCCCGCGGGTGCGTGCCGCCCCCTCCCCCGCCCTTTCGCGCACGTGACGCCGCGTCGGGCAACGGTCGGTCGCGCGCGGGGCTGCCGCGGCCCTCACCAGGCCTTGGGGCCATCCCAGCCCCGCGGCGTCTGCCCCAGGCCAGCCCCGGCGCGCTGCTGCCTCCGCGGCGGGGAGCGGGGGCCTGCTGCTGGTGCTGCCGCCGTAGTGACAGAGAGCCGCGGGGCCGGGCAGGGTGGTAGCGAGTGTGCCTCAGCCGAGGGGCCGCCCGCAGGTGTAGCCTGCTCGCTGCGGGCCCACCGGCGCGGCTCTTCCCCGCGGGTGGGCAGCTGGAGGCGGGGATGTCGCCAGCCCGCTCTCCTCACCTACGCCTGGCTCGGGCCGTGGGGTCAGCGGCCACCGCCGCGCACAGTAGCGCTGCCCGGGCAGTGCCGCGGATGCGGTTCACAGCGGTGCGATCCAACCACTGTGGAAAGTTGTCCTTAAACGTGAGGGGAGTTCAACATCCCTGTGTGCAGAGGGAGAGATTGTGGAAAACACAATGCGGGCACCCTGACCCCACTGCTTAAGAGGTCAGCTTGAGCCATACCACTGATAGATAATAGGAAGACCCTGGCCTACCAGCAGTATATTAAGTGCTATGTTCATGCACTCAGTATGTCAGCACAAATTAATGCTCATTTAGGTTATTAGTCTCTGTCAGGTAAATAAACTATACAACATTCTCTCTTTTTTTTATCTAGCTTTGATAAGTTTATGGTGTGCTTCCTAGTTGTAATACTTTTTAGCACTCTAGCTATTCTTGCAGTGTTTGGCAAATTGAATCCGGCCCTGAAATAATTCACTGCTTTATAATGAGCTGCCCTCTTAAGTAATTCTAGAAAATGAAGTAAAAGCAATGTCTTAGTAGCTAATAATCATATTTTATAGGTTTTTTCCAGTCTGATGCAGTGGAAGTAGATGTAAAGGATGGCACTAATGCTACGTGCCTGTATGCAAACTGGATGATGAAATTCTTGATAACATATGAAACAAACAGTAGTGATTATGTAAGTACTTGGAGGTAACTTTTATTGACAATTGTTATTTTGCCCCAGGTGAAAGTTTAAGTACACTGTCACTGAGGGCCTTTGGTTTGTTACTTTTCCCTTTTTTACTGAGTTGTTAAGACTATTCCTAAATATTCATTGTAAAACAAAGCATAAGTTCCCAATTAATAATACAAATAACTGAAAATGCCTTATTGCACTTAATTGATGTATCGGTCAAACTTGGTGGGTTTTGTTTATCTCTGTAGTCATGTTCTTAGCCTAGATAGTAAATGTAGATTGCAGCTCAGCACAGCCAAGATTTATAGACAGGTTGGAGTTCTACTTTTGCACGTGAACCTGCTGTGACTCCTTTCTTAGTCACATGTCAGGGAGCCTTTTTCTTAACTTTGTAGAACAACTTAAAATAATCCTGCTGATCTTGTGCAAGGTCCTGTGTAACTCCAGCAGGTTTATAACAATGTCATGGTAAGAACTTCTATCTGTGAAAACATTTAAGCCTACCTTCCTCTTCTAGAAAAACACAACCTTGAACCTGTCATCCAATGTGACACATGATGGAAGCGTCTGTGGCAATGACACAAAAGCTGCACTTCTGGCAGTACAGTTTGGAGAAGGTCACTCTTGGAGTGTTAACTTCACAAAAACCAATGAAACTTACCAGGGGGACTTTATCACATTTACCTACAACACCAATGATACTACTGTATTTCCTGATGCTAAAAGAAAAGGTAATGTTCAGTGCAGAATCCTTCTTACAAAACAGTTTTGGCTGCAAGTGTCAGATCTTACGTCCCTGACCTCAGTTGGCCTTTTCAAAGTGAGAAGGACTAATAATGTATCTAATAACTTACGTGGCCATGCACTGCCTAACTGTTCATCATACCTGCCAGTTGGGTAAGAGTACGGACTAGTTAGCTTCACTAATACGTGATTTGTTGTAGTGGAATGAAAGAGGAATGTTAACTGTTTGAACAGCGCTTATCAGTAAGGTGCTGCTCCTAGACAACGAGCACATGGAAGATTCATTTT